TTTTTTGCAGTGGAAATTCCCAAGTGTAAGCACCAAAGGCTGGCTTCACATTGGTCTGTTTATCGCCTTCATCACCATGCTCCTCACGTCCATTACCTGGATCGTATGGTCACGTGTCAGCTCCACACCCACTGCCGTTGCTGAGCGAACAACAGATGAAGTAAAGTTTGCATACATGTTGAATGGACTATTCATTGCACTTGCTGTCGGCGGGTTATATTTTGATAGTTATCGACATGTGAAGAGGTACTTCCAACGATGGTCAGTACTTAACAGACATATGATTATCGAGCCATACTGCAAACCCAGTACAGAAGGAGGTAAGACCAAGGAAGAAGAGACTCCAATGAKACCTCTTTCCTCCTCCAGTTTAGGGGTAGAGATCAGAGAAAATGAAGAGAATCATCCCGGTGGTGCCAAGAAAAAGACAACAAAGAAGAATAAGGGTACCTGGGTATGATAAAAAAATAATGAAGATTCACTCCTTTTACTCAATATTATTAATATTATATTTCATTAATAGCCAGACTAGAATAGACTCGTTAGGTATTAATAGCTAAATACAAATGAATTGTTCTTTGTTTTCTCTTCACAACGTGGCCATCTTGGTTTGAACAGTTGGTTTGTAATAAACCCAGTCATGATCAAGATTGCTCCTATGTGCCATAAAGAAAGTCTGCTTGTCATGCAATGTGYATTGTAACGTTTGACAATGCAGAATTTAGATAGGTAGTTTCAAATAATTCTGTCAAATTTTTTCTGGCCAAAGGTGGCAAACCAAGTGTTGTGAAACCAAAGATGGCAGACGTGAAAAGAGCTCATAAATAACTAAAAGAATACGTTTTTGCATGTTCAGTATTCTGTACTCTACTTCCTAAGGAAGTGATTATGGCATGCTGGTGTAYGTATATGAGATACTTGGTCACTGTATCAACTGAGCCCCAGGGGTGGCAGGGTGGGGTKTGTTACCTTGGAAAACTTGTCATACATGTATATTAAGCCACAGGAGAGTTCATGGGGCTGGACATACCCTGGGAAATATGCATAGAGGTTTCAGCCTTGCTCACTTCCCCAAGTGTAGGAAGTGTTATRTTATTTTTTAAGCTTAAAATAATGATCTAGAGAATGTGAAAATGTGTCACTCCCGGAAACACTTAGGGAATTTGAATGTAACATCCACCCTACCCCTCCATCCCTGTAGCTTTTAGCACTGATAAGTGGCTTCTTGTTCGTGTCCATCAACATCATGTTGGTGACCATTATTATAAATAATATTGAATATAGCAGTCTGATGACTTAATTCTTAATGTGTTCATGACATGCTATCAGATTTGATGCCTATTTTTGTTAGCATCTCATAATCATTTGCTGCCAAAAGAAAGACAACCTGGTTCATGTTTTGGTGTGCAAAGTGACTAGACAAAATTCCTTCAAAGATCCTTTCCTTGAGCCCATAAATGCTATTTTTTTCAAGAGTCTTTCTGTCCTCAATGGGCTTAGTAAATGAGGTTGTTTATTAACCAGTTGTGCTATCTATTGATCAATAATGACAGTATAAATAGCCATATAAGCATATATAGGTAGTTATACTGTAAGGGTTGCCAAGCTGTTTTTTGGCAGTGTAAAATATGCAAAAATYGTATAATTCGAATTTTGAAATTTATAAATTGGTGGTGCTTGAATCTTAAGAGGGGTAAAAATCTTGCTGAAATTTCTCAGAAATTTCATTTAGTCAGTGTCTGCACTACAGTATCTTTGGGGTTTTGTAGTCTAAACCTCGTTACATGTCGTATCCAAGATTTCCCAGGAGGGGGTGACTCTTGTCTAAYCTCAAGAAATTACCCTTCCTTCCCCTACTTCAAAGGGGCACATCAAGTGTAAAGGCGAGGCTATAGGCACCTCAAGATTACCTTAGATATGCCCCTCAACTGATAAATATATGAATGTAGAGTAAATCGACTTGCCGTATAAAATTCCCATTTTTTATATGAYTTTTTAAAGTTATGCTGACAGTGTAACAAGTCAAGTAATCACATTCTGCCATATTAGATAATAGGGGGATTGAATTAGCATAAATTYAACCATGTCAGATACAACATCCTAAATATTCAATAACAAATTCTTTATGAAAGAACTTTTAAAGTGATTTGAAGTCTTTTGAAATTTCAAGAATGGCATCACAAATTACCAAACCAAAATTAAACGACGATATGATGAGAAGTGGTCACATGACCCAAATTGTTAATCCAATGTTAAAGATTTCAGACATGCAATTCCTGATCAATCATTAAAAAGCATCTCTTCAATATATAACTAATGCCAATGTTTTGATGAGGCTCTTTAAGACAATGGAACAAAATTTGTAAATTAATTAATGTGTAGTTCCAAAAAATATYCATACCCCTCCCGCTAAGGRGGTTACAGAGTTTGTATGGAAGGAAATTGGARGTTTCTGGGGGTAGAGGGGTACTTTTACAAATTTCCTCCATGGTGGAGGTATGGATATTTTCTCAAACTACACAACATGTTCTGGCGTAATTATTTCTTGGTAGAAAACATTTGATTTTAAAATTATTTGGCCTCATATTTGATGCAAATTTAGATACCACTCATTTTTATTGCAAATTCTTAGGTGATTAAGTGACGCATATAAATGATTTGGTCTCRTGATCAATAAAGATTTGTCCAAAAGCAGTTTCCTTGTCAGTATCAAAWCCAAAATAACCTGAAGAGATAAATGTTTTTTGGTAAGGAAAAGATTATTCGTCACCTTTTTCTGCTGCATGCATTTAATATTTGATTTTGCTATTGAATATGGAGGAAATGTATCTTCTGATCAATGAAAATTCCAAGAACAGGTTGTCTCTACATTCACATAAAACCAAATTTATCTGAAGAAATACATGAACTACTTTGAAGAACTGTCTGAGCTCAAATCAGTGCTCATTAAAGAGGTGCATACCATAAATTAGTGAAAACCTTTGTAAGAAAATTGTACAAATTTGCAAAAATTAGTAAGCTCAGTAAACTGGATTGCGTTAACGCTTGGGTAACTTTACACTGCAATAGTTCAAAATGTAATGTTTCATTTATTTCTTATACAGAACTTTGCACTTATTTGTACAATTTTGTTAGCTTTTTCGTGGATTTATGGTATGCACTCTTAAGCATATAATTTAAAATTTGCTAAACAACTTAATTTTCATTTTAGCCCCCTCCCCCTTCCGCAGTAAAAAATATTCTCCTACATCCCTGAGATATCATTACAAGACTAGAATTAAATGTGCACATGCAAGTTATAACCAAGACCATTCAACACACCTTTGTTTGCTGTCATGGGCACTGGAGGATTTCATGTTCAATGAATTACACAAGTGCCATGTTTTGTTAGACCCCATGTTACAGTATCACTATCTTGGAAACAGAAACATTTTCATGCTAACAAGCATCTTGTGGAAGTTGTTTAGAGTAACAATAAATATTAAGGGTAGAAATAGTTATATTTGATAAGCATTTGATTATATTTTCACACCATTAATAATAATTGCAAAATTGACTATAAGTTCGTTAAGTTCGTTATAAAATTAACATAGTTCACAAATATTATATCAAATCATTGACAAGTTTAAAGTACATTTCAATAAAAGGTTTAAATAAGTGTCAAATGTCTCYTGTAGGTATTAAAAAGCTTGTAAACTCCCTCTCCCACTCTTACTCTCCCACTCTCCCTCCCACTCTTCCTCTCCTATTCTTCCTCTTGCACTTATCATCTCCCACTYCCTTTCTCTTCACTCTTTCTGTTCCACTCTTTCTCTTCACTCTTTCTCTGCTCTTCCACTTCCACTCTCCTTTTACCCTTCCACTCTCACTTTTACTCTTCCACTTCCACTCTTGGTTTACCACTCTCCATCTACCAGTTTTTCTCCCCACTCTCCCGGCTCTCCAAGTCCTTTTTTCTACACTCTTGCTTTTGCACTGCCCCACTTCCATTTATTGCTCCTATATCGATCTCTCTACTCCTTTCGCCCACTAACTACACCTTTTTTCTATTTTCTTTTCTTCAACAATTTGGGGTGGTTACGTCACACGCATGTTCAGAAAGTACTAAAGCTTAGCATCCCAACGCTGAGCATGCTCAGTGGCGAAAGGATGGATTGAGATTCACACTTGTGAACAGCTTCAAACTTCATTAACTTTTGTTAATGAACAAACCTTTGGTCGAATTAGAGAAAACATACACGTATTCGCAAACATATATGGACGATTTTTATATTTCAAAAGCGGTTTAGTTTATACGTGACTGTCATGTGCATGACTCCAAAAAGGATCCCACAAGTTGAAAACAGCATGCCAAACTAAAGATGTCGGTGATCGGAAAATAGTTTTCAAAGAGGAGTGATTTGAGTTTAGTTTATTTTCWTGTACTGCGAATGTACGTTTTGTATTATTGGGTAGAAACGTTTCGTCGCTCATTGTTAAAATGAAAATGTTGCTGTCATTCTGTACACTTTAATTTTATCCCAAAGAAATTGAAATTTTTGTAAATGTTTTGTACTGTAGGTGTGAATTTTATATTTCATTATGCTATAATATTATAATTTTGCATCCTTAGACGAGACTTATAGTTCCCCACATTTTTATTCCCAAGGGAATTTATGTGGGTATCCACAATTTTCTGTACTGCACATGCGCAATTCTTATTTGAACAACCAAACAAACAGCATCCCACACTGTAAAACGTAGGTTTTTTGACACCTTTCCTGCTTCATTCACTGCAGAACGAATTGAATTTTTCTCAAATTTTACGTACTGCTTATGCGCGGTTTAAATTTTGCTGTTGAAAACTAAGCTTCCCACATTGTAAAACTTAAATTAGTTTACCCTTTTTCGGCTTTTTTGATCTCAACGATCTTAATTTTTCTTAAATTTTATGTACTGCATATGCATGTGCGGTTTCAATTTTGCTCTAGGTAAAGAAGTGTRAAACAAGCATCCCACATTGTAAAATGTATATTAGTTGACCCTTTATTATCTGCTTTTTTAATCCCGAGGGAATTGAATTTCAGGTCATTTTAATGAACTACGCATGTGTGGTTCACATTTTGGTGTGGTAAAGAAGCGTAACACTTGCATCCCACATTATAAAACGTAAATTAGTTGACCCTTTACTT